TTGGGCCGCAGGGTCAATGTTGATTAGTGCCTGGGGCTGCGGAGGCAGGGCGAGCGCCTGGAGTGGGTGGATGGCAGCAGCTTCAACCACACGTGAGTCCTGTCGCGAGCCAGGGCCATGGGGTGACCGTCCTGCGGTGGGCCAGGCAGGGGCCTGGTGGGACGTGTCTGCTGGGACTGTCCCTTGCAGGCAGCACTTGCCTCTTCCTGGTGCTTGAGGGGACAACCGCTAACCCGACAGTACCAGCGGTGCCTTTCCTTCTTCTTGCAGGTTCCTGGTGCACGGCCAAGGAGTGTGTGCGTATTTGAAGGACCGTGCTGTCGCAAGTTCAAGCTGCTCACAGCACCGGCCTTATCTCTGCCGCAAGCCCCAAGCTCTGATGGGAACCACATGACAGAGGTGATGGAGAAAGAATCACAGAAGAGTTTGGGTTGGAAGGGCCCTTCACAGACCGTCTAGTCCAACCCCCCTGCCATGAGCGGGGACATCTCCAACTAGATCAAGCTGCTCAGAGCCCCGTCCAACCTGGGCATCTTTCCAGGGATGGGGCATCCACCACCTCTCCGGGCGACCTGGTCCAGTGTCTCACCACCCTCAGCGTAAGACATTTCTTCCTTAGATCTAATCTAAATCTACCCTTTTTTAGCTTAAAATTGTTCCCCCTTATCCTATCGCTATGGGCCCCATCAAAAACTCTGTCCCCATGAGTGTTGAGGGGCCACCACGAGGTCTCCCCGGAGCCTTCTCTTCTCCAGGCTGCCCAACCCCAGCTCTCCCAGCCTGCCCTCACAGCAGAGGTGCTCCAGCCCTCGGATCAGCTCCGTGGCCTCCTCCGGACCCGCTCCGACAGGTCCATGTCCTTCTCGTCCTGAGGGCCCCCTGGACATAGTTGCTCCGGGCCGGGGGGGTGTCTCACCGGAGCGGAGCGGGAGCATCCCCTCCCTCGACCTGCTGGCCACACGGCTTCTGAAGCGGCCCAGGAGACGGCTGGCTTTCTGGGCCGTGAGCCGCACGTTGCCGGCTCACGTCCGGCTTTTCATGCACTGGTACCCCCAAGTCCTTTTCGGCAGGGCTGCTCTCAATCCCTTCATCCCCCAGCCTGTCTTGATACTGGGGGTTGCCTTGACCCAGGTGCAGGACCTTGCACTTGGCCTTG